GGTGCTGTATATTTTACGCGGTTAGAGTTTCGCGTTGAAGCCGGGCTAAGCTGAACCCTGACCTATACACGGACTAAAGCCAGAGTTCGTTTCGACGCGGGTATGCTTGCTGACTGAAATATTCACCATTCGCCCATTGCAATTCTCTCTTTTTCTCTTGCTCTCTCCCCTCTCGCAATTGCTCTCACCCTCCTGCATCCCACCTTTTGAACTTCCTTTTTGCACGTGCCCGCTGAGCGAACATGCACATATGTATCCACGTTGTATACCGATGTCACTAATCCTCCGGGCAACAAAGAGAAAGGGAATAGCAGGGAGGAGATAACGTATGGCTGTTTTGAAAAGAGCAAAAGGGTCGATCAATTGATTGTGAATTGAGAGAACTCTTGCTGCTGCCGATGACACGACGATTTACAATAAACATCTAGCTATTTTGTTTCAAATGTGCCGACAATTATGAAAGTGACCTAAATAAAAAAATCGGAAAAATCGGAAAAATCACAAAAAATGGAATTTATCACTTATTTTTTTATAAAAAAGAAAAAAACAATTGCATTAAAGAATTACATTAAAGAGTAAATATATTAGATTTCTTTAAATCACAAAAAATGTTTTATGCATAACTGTTAAATAAAATCAGAATTTAATGCAATATTCATTTAATTTACGCCTTCAAAAATTTCAAAGCAAACTTTGATATTTGTGAGAACAATAAGCTTGGATTCAATTTAATTATGATTAATCATTTTTACTACTTTCAGAATGACAAGCAGCCTGCATAATAAATGTTTCATTGTGAAAAAGAATGACAAGTTGACAAACTTTTAAATTTCTCAATACTTATTTAAATTTATTTTATCGGACGAAAGTATCACTATATAACGTATAAATTTTAATTCAAGACTTTGTTGTTGAAATATTAAACACGGAGTATTGAAAAATTGTACGAAGGGGAAAGAATTTCAATTCAATTTTAAAATATATCGAAAAATATCGACTCGATGAAAAATACGCGGGACAGGCGTTATACTGGTCTATCACCAAAGTGTCGCGGTTTTACGACAGCACCTAACGTCAAAGCACCTAAGGCTCTCTCTCATAGTTTGGATAGCATCGAGTGGCTTCATGAAAGTTACGGTTTGGACGTGATAGCTGAAATATTTGATTTTTATTGTGGTGATTTATATATATGCAACGGAATGAAGTACTTAGCGTGCGTTTTGGCAATTCTCGCGAGTTTGTAAACCGTTGATGGAATGCATTATAAACATATCAATTGCAGTTAACGCTCTGTTTACTGTATCGGAATTTGCGGTGTATGCTAGGCTGCGGCGTTTAAAATATAATAAAATTGAAAACGAACGGGATTACTCGCGCGCGCATATGACGAAGAGGCAAAAATTGTATGTGTATCGTGACGTCATCAAGGATGTGCGACTGTAACACAATTTCACTCCCTTTTCGCATAATTCGTACTGATCTGCACGCTCGCACGCGGAAGGAAGACGCGCGTAATTGTATTTCTCGCCAAATTGTTTTCTCTGCCAAAGTACGACAAATAACCGAAGCAAATAGGTCACCTCGTATAACGCCTTTACGCCGTTCCGCGTGTATATGTGTGTATATGTGTGTGCATCATCATCGCGTTTTTTACGAAAACATTTCGCGCGCGCGAAATGACCAGTGGCGGCTAACGCACAAGAGCGCGGAGCATTTAATTTTTCCCATCGAAAATATTTAATTTCTTCGGCGCGGCAAAATTTGCTTAAAACGAAATATCGCGCACGTAGATACGTGGCCGTACGTTATACAGTGCATGATGCATATACGGCGTGAACGTATGTTGCGCCGGCGAGTAACTAATCCACCGGTTGATGCAATAACGGCCGTAAAAGAGAGGACTGCGGGAGCGAGAGAGAGAGAGAGAGAGAGAGAGAGAGAGAGAGAGAGAGAGAGAGAGAGAGAGAGAGCGCG